CAGAATAGTTACGTTTGAACCCACGACGTAAGGATTGACTCCTTACTTTTGGATTGTAGAGCAGATACTGTAACCATAACGACTTGCGGGCGACAGAACTCGTAAGACATCAATTTTCCGAAATTGTACTTATCTTTTTAACACCAGGAAACATGCTGCGTTAGTGATTAGTGATAAAATTTATCATTGGTCTTCACTATGATAATTTTTTTTATACCCCCCGCTTGAAAAGCGGGCTAAGGCCTATATAGTTTAATCGATTTTATATTATCCGTGTCTGTACGAAGGTCCTAAGTCCGACCCAATTGATAATTATTTGTACCGTCCTTCCATTATATCCGTCCGGCAATTCTTTAAGATTTGTGATTATACAACTTATCCGACAAAACTCCTCTCATAACACTGAATGAAATTTGATGAAACTTTCACAGAATCTTTATTACATATCATTGTGCACCTCCTATTTTACTTTTTGATGGAGAGCTGCAAAGGATTTGTCATATACTCGGCACAGGAAACATGGAGTCTTTTTCACCAGTTATAACCATAAGGGAGGCGGGGGGTAAGGATTCATTTATTTTTATTTGACAATACCAGAGAGATTTTGCATCTTAAGACAAAATTTTAAATTCAAACAGATGCTGCGTTAGTGATTAGTGATAAAATTTATCATTGGTCTTCACTATGATAATTTTTTTTCACAAAGCATTCTTATTGATATTGGTTAATCTGTTACCATTAGTAGTATTATATCATATTCTATATGCATGTAACCTCTCTCTCTCTCTTTCTTTCTCTCTTTCTCTCTCTCTCTCTTACCTTTCGGCATGATTTGAAAGTGTTTACTTCCAATGTCCTCCCCCACATCTCTGTGGTTCTGACTGTTATAAAGGCTACATTCCCGTGAGATCTTGTTGTAATGGAAACCTCGACAGGAATCGTTCGTCGCACACAAGTAGGCACACTGTGAGATCAATGGCGCCACCATCTTTTTCATCGGAATACCATCGGATCTCTTGTTTTCTAGTCGAGGGATGATTTTAAACAGACTGTCTCCGCTGGAAACTGAATCATGAATTTTGTTTGTTTTTTGTTCATACGATATATATGAGGCACCGTTTTGATATTTCAATAATATCATTTGTATATCACCTAATGGCAAAAAACGCTGATCTCTGGATATTCCAGAGCGAAATAAAGTGTGCGAGAGGAGTAAGTATCCCCCGAAGACTGGTCACATCCACTGTGGGTCATATATATATATGTTACATATTGACCAGGTAGACGAAGAAAAACATCAAGTCAAATTAAGTATTTAAAGGAAATATTTTTAAATTCCATATGATAAGTTGAATATGTTACCGTGGTCAATATAACAACCATAGGATTCATGAGATACAGTTTCAAATGAGATCTATTGAAATCCATATATCATCAACTCATTTGTCAGTAGCCAGGTTTAGATTAAAAAAAAAACAATAATTTTCAGAGCGTGAACTTGAGTGTTGAGTAAGTTGGAAGTCGATCTTCAAAACCACATGCATTTGATAGTAGAATATTACTAGATAAATATGAACAAGATGTGTTTGTGAAACACTATGCGCCCGGCGGCAACAAAGTTCTAAAAAACAATTTTAGCAAATAGGTCACATATCCGATCATTGTCCTTGGTGTCATTTGATAGTAGAACTTAATAGATAAATGTGCAACCAAACTGACAGTCTCATTTGTAGCACAGTTTAAAAGTTATGGTGATAGCGGAAAATCTATTTATTAAATATATTACATCATAGGCTACAAGGTCATTGAAAAATAATGCATTCTGTTACAATAGCATATTGTTCATGTATTCTTCTATCAAAGCAGAACGTTTGGCAATGTTTTATAGTGATGAAACCAAGATTTAAAAATATTTTTTTGCAATATTTGATAGGACTTTGATATTTTGGAACAAATAAAATTGGAAACCCAACATAAACTTACTATTTCATAAATCATGCCAAAATTGCTCCACAGTGAGCCAGTTAATATTTCTAATATTATTGAAAAAAATGTGACCATTATTCAAGTATATACTAGTATATAAATTCAAAAGTCATATAAATTTGATACACATGGAGAAAAACCTTACCTTTCAGTAAATAGATCAGGATTGAAGTTACTTTCCAATTTGCCATCACGGAGTACTATAACTATCAAGGCTTACAAAAATGATAATCTTTTCGTTTTAAACATCATTAATGAGTTTGAGAATACCGACATTTGTTTAAAACAAATTCTTTGCTTTCCTTTACAAAGCTGTTCTAACAAATCTTTCGGTTTTATGTCTAATTATTTTGTTGAGTGTTAGTTATTGGACATTGCTCAGAAAGTTTGTGTAAACCTGCGAATTGACAAGACAAACTAAGTTATTGCAAAACAAATTAAAATTACATTAGCATGACCGTAGAGACATTACTGCCAATAAACTATTAGAAGAATAGAAAGAAAAAGATCCAGCGTATACAAAGGTATAGATTTCCATAAATATTTAATTCTTACTAAGGCTTTATTAGTACCGAAAAGTTTGAAAGACGTTTGTTATTCAGTTAAAGTTCAAATACCGACAGTAATATCACGCATGTATAATAATATTAATGTACCAAATAATATTCAATTGTATGATAAAAGAAAACCCAAATTAGGTTTTTAAGATATTCATTTTAATCGTACTTTATTGAGTACATCAAAGGGATTGGAAAACAAGTTTTGTACAATTAACTAGTTTCTCTCCTTATGTATTATAATATGTCATACAAATGAAAGAAAAATAATTCAAATGTCATCTGTAAGTCAATTTTGAATCACCATAAAATTATAGATTTACCATTTAGTCATTTATCATTTTCATCATTTCGTAAGTTCTTTGGTCGATACAATGACGTTGTCAGCAAATGCAATTTATCATTGAGTCAAACTCTGACTGACGTTTTTCATACTAATTGTTAGTCCATTATTTATACATGTACATTGAATTGACGACGGATTTTTCCGTTATTTCCCGGTCATGACAAGGAGCACACGACTGGTTTGACCGGTCGGCAGGAGATGCTCACTCCTCCATGTCACCTGATCACACCTCTGTTTGCTCTGTTTTTATTTTGTATTGTTTTAATACGGTCCTTGATTTGAATACTGTTCGTTATCTCCATGTCCTTCACGCAATGATTGTCGATTAGTGACGATTTTTGTGTTGAATTATGATGGTATATAACTTTAGAAATTTTTTATCCTTTATCTCGATCATGCTTAACTCGAAATCTCTTTTCATAACTGAATTATCGGATGCATGTAGGCAACTTTATTTACTTATATTTTCTAAATAATGGACAAAACAAAGTCTAAATTTGGGTGGATAGAATGTAATTGTTGCAAACAAATGGTGGAAATTGTATATATAAGGTAAGTTGAGATTTAAACGAATACTTGTCGGCAAATACTTGCTCTACTTGCTTCAAAACAAATATCGTCACTAATTGACAATCATTGCAATTTATGAGAATGTAAAATTAAAGAAAAATAAATTGCTCATGGAATCACATTCTTATATTTTAATTAAGATTTCAAGTATTGCCTGAATCAGACCTGTGTACTGTCGATCTCCTTTGATTGCTATGCATAACTCTGGCTATGCAACTGATCTATGGCAAGCCCTTTTACTATTTATTCGAAAAATAAAATTTATCTTAAAATTACAGAGATATCTCTCATTTTAGAGAGATATCTCGTAAAAATAGAGATATCTCTCATTTTTAAGAGATATCTCTATGAGAAAGAGATATCTCTTACACTTAGAGAGATATCTCTTCCACTGAAAAGATATCCCTTTCTCCCTTAGAGATATCTCTTTCGTGAAAAGAGATATCTCTAAACGTTAAAGAGATATCTCTTTCACCTAAAGAGATATCTCTTTAACTTTTGGAGATATCTTTCCAATAAAGAGATATAAGGCCAAAAAATATATCTCTTAGTTTATCTTCAGAGATATCTCTTAAAGTGAAAGATATCTTTCAAAACTGTCTAAAAGAAATATCTCTCAAGCAAAAAGAGATATCTCTTTGTTGCAAAAAGATATCTCTCTTCATATTTTTTTAATTTAAATTCCATTTCAACTGACTTCTCCATGTACCGGAAGTAAGCTTCGGAAAATCAAATAGAAATAGTTGATTATTTCATAATCGAAAATCATTGCAATATATATGTCTTACTTTGAGAATATTAAAATTAAATCAACAAAGTTAGCATTATTATTTGTTGTTTCAGGTAAAGGATTTATAGCATCACATTCTTAAATTTCATTAAAATTTCAGAGACTTTACTTCCTGTTTCGCTTTCGTTTTAAAGTGGAGAATTAATAATTCCATTTTAAGCATCACTGGAAAAGAGATATCTCTTTAATTAAAAGAGATATCTCTTTAGCTTATAAAGATATCTCTTTTTGAAAATCTAAAGAGATATATCTCTAACTAAGAAAGATATCTCTTTGTTCCTTGTTAAAGAGATATCTGTCTAACTTTAAGAGATATCTCTTTGTGATTGTTTGTAAAAGAGATATCTCTCTACAACTCTACTTCAAAAAAGCTTTGTTTAAAGAGATATCTCTCTAAAGTATAAAGATATGTAAGCCATTTATTGATATTTCTTTATGTTAGAGAGATCTCTCTTTTTGAAAGAAATATAAAATGAAGCTGAATAGCAGGCGTGATAAAGTGATTGTTTGTAAAATGCTCAACTCTACTCCAAGCGTTTGTGAAGAAACTTTTTATGCCGTGTATGTAACCCATTTATTGACCGATAAGAGACTTTCCAAAAGAAATATAAAATGAAGCTGAATGCAATTCTAAGAACTCAGTATATAAGTATCTGATTTCCAAAAGAAATATGGAATGTAGCTGAAATGCAATTCTAAGAACTCTGTATATAAGTATCTGATTTCCAAAAGAAATATAAAATGTAGCTGAAATGCAATTCTAAGAACTCTGTATATAAATATCCGATTTCCATAAAATGAAGCTGAAATGCAATTCTAAGAACTCTATATCTAAATATCTGATTTTCTTTAAATCACAAGAATAAATTAAATACAGGCATATTCTAGTAATATGTAAAATCTTTTTTAAGTTTTGCCATCTTAAAATTCACAAAGGGACAAAGATTTCTCTCGGAGGTATTGTTCAGAGATCCATGTGATTACATTTTTGATCGGCTGGGGTGATTATCCTTCAGACATCATTCACAGAAAAATAGCCTCTTGTCGTCTGTACAGGAACTATCGTCAAGGGCCATGCTCGGACACCAGTCGTCAACGATCAGTCCCATACACTCACGATCCTCAAATGGTTGTTGTGGGCACCACGGACCAGTCATCAAAGACCCGTCCCGCCACGTATAGGACAATGGAGCCACTCTCTTAGCATAGACATGAATAAATTCTGAAAGAATACAAAGCTTGGTTCTAATTGACGACATTGTGTCAGTATACCCCCGCTTGAAATGTGGGAGAGTGTTAAGTGATCGGTATGTCCATTCGTCTGTTAGAATAAGAAAAATACTAGCCGTGGCCTTTAACTTGGCATTTAGATACATTAACCCCAAATATTTATGATAAACGAGATGACTTCCATTTTGAGGCAATGTACCCTTTTCACCTTCGAATTAAGACTGCGTCTCCCAGTTCAAATGCATGCTTTACGTACAAACAATTTCTTAAACGAACCAAGCTGTTGACAAACAAGTTGGTGAAACAAACATATCAAGTCTCGTTCAGAATCATCATTTAGCTAGTCCTTCGGTCGCAAGAATGACCTTAAACTTGTCAGTAATTACTATCTCTCATTTAGTCGAATGCCGAATGAAGTTATTCATATTAATTGTTTAGCAATTTTTTATGCCCCCGTAAACGAGGTTTTGGGGGTATATAGTTTTTGTCCTGTCCGTCCGTGTGTCTGTCTGTCTGTTTGTCTGCAAAACCTTGTCCATAAACAGAACATAGGTAATCAGAGATTACAAAGCTCAGCTCAAAGAGTATTGTCTTTTAGTGATCAAAGCTCCACAATTAACTAACATTCTAGAAGTTTACATCCCAAAATTCAAAATTTAATGCAATTTTTATCTGAGAGGGCTTGCAGTTATAATTACTTGGGAATAGACCTAATCCAAAAACATCAAACTAGTCGGCCATCAAGAAAATGTAATTTAAATCCAGCATTTGAAGCAATTTTAAGAGTGTTCATCCCTTGATGCATCATTTATGCAAGCTTGGTTAATACAGGTCTAATATTTTCTTGGTGTAAAACCTGCACCAATTACCTGGTCCATTATCTGGAAAATGTATGTCGAATTCAGCATCCGAAGCAAATCCATTAGTGTGCATCCTAAGATGTATCATCGATGCAAGATTGCTCAAACATAGGGCATATACCTGCTTTAGAAGAACCTTCTTAAAACCTTAACCTGTTCACTCATAAATACATGTAAAATGTAGGTCAAATTCAGCATCCGAAGCAAGCCCATTCGTGTGCGTCCTAAGATGTTTCATCCATGCAAGTTTGCTCAAGAATAGGACTCATACTTGGAATTGAGACCTGCATAAAAACTAACCTTTTCACTCATCCAGAAAATGTCGGTAAGATCCAGCATCCGAAGCAAGCTTGGTAGTGCATGTGCATCCTTAGAAGTATCATTCATGCAAGTTTAATTATCATAGGGCTCAAAATCATTTGGAAATGGGACCTGCACCAAACATAAACTTGTTTACTCATCCGGAAGATGTAAGTGAGATCCAGCATCCGAAGCAAGCCTGGTTGTGTACAACCTTTGATATATCATCCATGCGAGTTTGGTCATTATAGGTCTCATAGTTGCTTGGAATGGGACCTGCACCAGAAACATTTACCTGTTCGCTCATCCGGAAAATGTAGGTCAGATTCAGCATCCGAATCAAGCCTGGTTGTTAGATGCATCCTTAGATGTATCATCCATATTTGTAAATGCGGTCAACATAGGGCTTATAGTTATTTGGAAAAAAAGACCTACACCAAAAACTGCACCAGAAATGTTAACTTGCTCCAAAACATTAACCTGGTCATTCCAAATACTGAAATGAAAGCATCTGAAACCTTATTGGATACAATGAAATACACTAAAAGCATATTCCATGCATGTCTGATCATTATAGTGCATAGTACTTAAACAGAAAACCGCTCAAAAAATCTTAACCTGGGACGCCGACGCCGATACCGAAGGTATCACATAAGGGAGTGAGCTAAAACAAAGTTCATGTACATATTGAAGTTATCAGTGAATTACATTTTTGGATATAATTTTTGTATGTGTCAACTTTCATAAAGTGAGCTCATCAAAATTATGAATCTTTCGGTCACAGAATCTTAACAACTTACTCATATCGAATCTTTTCATTAGACTTTTAATAGCGAGATACTTCTGAGTGGTTTCCAAGCTCACCAATTCTTTAGACATTGTATGGCACGTTGCTTGGGCGTCTTTGTAGAGTATTGGAGTTGCGTGAGTGTATATGCATTTTTGTAGGTCAGGAATCCACTCGTCCTTTCCAGGTACACAAGCTGAATTAATTAATGAGATTAGGTATTAAAGCAATGAAGAATCCTGATGCCACAGATATCATAACGATGATCAAAATAGGAGTTGTACAGTTGTTTTTCACTTCAAGTAAACTGGTCTTCAAGAATAAAAAAATGCTATATCTTTGGCTGAGACGGCTACTGAGAGAGGAGCACATGTAACCTGATATTGAAACATATTGCTTATTTTACTTCATTTCACATTCTTTTTTTTCAGTCTTGATTTTTATTTTTACAGACAAAATAAATTCATTTGATTGTTTTCTTTTTCACCTCCATTATATTCTCGTATATTTTGACTTGTCTTATTACTCTTATTATGAGTATTATATCATGTTAATTGTTGTTTATGAATGTAAACTCTCTCTCTCTCCCTTTCTCTTTTCTCTCTCTCTCTCCCCCTCTCTCTGCCTCTCTCTCTTACCTTTCGGCATGATTTGAAAGTGATTACTGCCCACTTCCTCCCCGACATCTCTGTGGTTCTGACTGTTATAAAGGCTACATTCCTGTGAGATGTTATTGTAGTGGAATACCTTACATGAACTGCTTGACTCACAAAGGTAAGCACACATTGAAATGGCGGGCACTCTCGTTGTTCCCATTGGAGTACCATCTGATTTCCTGTCCACCAATCGAGGAATAACATTGAACATGTTGTCTCCCATACTAACTGTAAAATGATAATTGGTAAAATATTGTCAGTAGTCATTCAGGTATCTTCTAAGGGTATGCAAAATGCTAAATAAGAAACTTTTAGCATTATGTATTATTGTAAGTTTACCAAATTAACGTCTTTTTAGTACTAACATAATATGTTATTATTCAAATATGAAACAGACGTGCAAACTCTTTTATTTCAAGCTCACTGAGATACAAATCAAATTGTCATACAAACGAAGATAAATATTGTTAATTGATAATACGTCGTCGGTATACCAAAATATCGTGTTAAAGGCCAAATAAGTGTTTTCGTTCTTCTCACGTATAGAATTCTTTAAAAATTCTTTGATATGAATACAGAAATAAATGTTTAATAACAGATACAACTGGTACTCATGGGAAACCCGACATGTTGTCTGAATGAAACGGGTCCTCAGTTTTAAGGTCTTGTTTAAAAGACCCCTCAATTTTCCATTCGAAGTGCAGAGCGATCGTCGAAGGAAAAGTTGCTACCTATTACATTTATCGAGTTAGAAATCTGTCAAAAATCTACATTGATATTGTCAATCAATAGCTCAAACATCTTTTTCGATCAATTTAAGAGTACTTTTGTGTACAAAAACAAAATGTTTTGTTACAAGATACAGGTAGTTTTGCAAATGACCAATTACGAAGAAAAATGCCAACAATGATGTCAAAAAACCTGAACTAAAATTAAAGGTGGAATATAGCTGTATAATGTTAAAAATGTATGTATTGATTCTTTTAGTATTGGTAATTTTTTTTATTTCAATAAAAGTTCCCGGCTCCTGATTTGTATTGTTTTAATAATCTTTTGAGCTTGAATTCTGTTTATTATCACCATATATTTCCTTTCAAGGTATCTGTATTCGATCCAATTCTAAAAATTAAATATAGATTTGTTGTATAGTAATCCTGGAGTTTCTTCACTGTTGTTAAAATATTATGGAGTTGTAAAGAAAGAGGCTTTGTAGAATATCATTGAATTTCAAGCCCATAGGAAGTAATTTAAATTTGGCACAGCCACATTTGGCCACCATCAACAATGAAAATATTCCTCGAAAAGCCCCCCCCCCCCCAAAAAAAAGTCATCAAACGTTTTTATTGAGGGGATAAAAAACATTAGTAACTAGTTTTCTGTAGCACTCTATAGTATTTTACATGTATATATCGGCAGAATTATTTGGGTAGCTGATGATGCTCTGGTTCCTACGACCATGGGTTCCCTATGCCACGAGTTGTTATGAAGATTAGGTATTATTTTAATTTGTTATTTAAGGAATAAACCTTAGATAAAACATAATCTGAGGCAGTTTACGCTCTATTAACCGCGAAGTTATAATATAGCGGATAACATGAGTTGAAATAAGCTTCATTTCTTATAATTTAATATCAATGTAGACAATGAGACAATTTTTCTTCCAGTAAAAGGCTTCAAATTTTAAAAGTAAGGTCAAGCAGATTTTACGTTTTAGACGTAACTCATTGTGACGTAGGCAACTTATGTTATACGAAATGAATTATATATTTTACCCAATCAAATGACGTGTTAAAATTTCCATTAAATCATATTAAATATAAAAATGAATTTGAGAAAAAACGGGTCTACCTATCCCATACCATCTTAAAGCAAAGATACTGAAATCACAAATCTTTATCAATAGAAATCCTGTTCCGGATGAAATATTGTAATATTATATTTATAAATTGTAAGGATTTGAATTAGCACAAGGATATATAAGGAGCATTTTTAAAAGATTTGCTGTTTGTCAGCAGCTTACCTCTGACTAAATAGAACAGTATCGCACATCCTATCTGATGCGTCATATCTTCTCCGTTATTTTTTCCGATTATGCAGCTTATTGAAAAGGGCGACAGATCGAGTTTAATTATATTCGATTCGAACTAATGTTTACACTTTCCCTTTTTATTGTTAATCTTCAGAATTTGAAAATTAGTTTATATTGAATATTTTCTATATTAAGAGTATGTAAACCTTGTTTAAAGAAAAAATGTTCCATGTAAGCATTGCAAGCATTATTGCAGGAAAAAAATGATAGTCAATAAAAATCCCCATAATTTCTATGCTTTTACTCAAGATTGAAAAAAATATATATACCAGGTATTAATTAAATTGGTTTTTTTAAATTTACGTCTATCGTTAAGAATAACTGGTACTTTCACTGTATAGATTTTTCTTATGTACATTTTGCATAATACTATTGTCTAATAATCTAGCCTTTCCATGAAAAAGAATGGATAAAGTCGTCTTGTATGATTGCTGCCTTACAATGTAAATCCATATTAAAATCTTTCAATATCAATGAAATGCAAATCTGTCATACATCTTAAGCCACTTTTTATTAAAGATTTAAAACTTTTTAGACATTACATAAATTAGCGATTTAGGATGTGTATATTTGAATGTTTGTTATTCTTTGTAAAGAAAAATATACTATAAATTCACATAGTTTCGTGGGGTTCGATTTTCGTGGTTTGAGGAAAAAAAATCTTGGTTCGTGGGGATTTGATTTTATGGATAAAAAATCTTCAAAGTCAAAAGGTCAAATATTAACATTGTTGCTATCCAAATGATAGGCCATTCAACTGCCTCTAGTGTTCGCAGTTATGAACGATTAATCATTTCTGAAACTTGTTTAGAGCAAGTGGTTTTAAAATTTTGAGCTAATGTTTAACCCATTTAATATATAGTTTAGGACACCGTTTAATTACATATAAGTAAAATTTTAAATTAAAATAAAGTGAAATCTACCCCGTCTTAGTTCTATCCTGACTAAATTTTTTATACTCAGTCGTTCTTCTTCGTGCTTAGTAACACGTACAAATAAGATAATTAATTTTGCATTTACTTGTAAAATATATACATGTATATTTATATAGGAAGCGCAAAAATGCACAAAAACACAAAAGCTTTAAATTATATTTTCTTCTTCATAGCAATCGTCAAAGAGAGTTTAAAATCTTGAATATAGTCTGTTTCCCATTCATTTGATCCCGTTATTTCAGGTAGAGTGAAGACATTCTCCTTAAGCTTCTTTTGGTCAACACTTTTGTGTAAAAATCTACGTAAGGAACCCTTTTGTGTACATTACAATACCAATGCTGAAGCAGCCTTTTTGTCATTCCTAAGATAACTCATTAATCGTCACTTAGTTGTCATTTTTCACACTTGAGTTACCTGTCCTTAAAACACAACATCCTTCTAGTCAATTATGAATAATTTATCTTTTTAATGATTTAATTAAAGGTATGCATACGTTATCATCTTATTTGATAATTTCATGCACATATAAATCTATCTATGAAATGTTTTTTAACATATGTGCAACTTGAAAGATTAGTTGAAAGGCCTAAAAAAGGTCTTGTCATAAAGAATACATCTGTAAAATATGAAAACCTTAGTATTAACTGGTCAAAAGTTATGAATAAGGTTAAAGTTTTTTTTAAAGTGGGTCAAACTCTGAGTCAAGGTCAAAGGGTAAAAAATATATATATACTCTTTGAAAGGTCCTCACACAACTAATACACATGTAAAATATGAACGCCGTAGCACCAACTATTTAGAAGTTATGGTCAAGGTTAATGTTAGGATTTTTTTGTAAAAGGGTAAAACTCTAAGGTAAATGCGACAAGGTCAAATTTGGTGGTACCCGAAGAAAAGTGTTATCGCAAGAAACACACCTGGGGAATATGAAAGCGAAAGCCCCACCCACTAAAAAGTTATGGGCAAGGTTTAAGTTTTTGAGGATAAACAGACATACAGAAAGACAGATAAACGGACAGGGCGAAAATCACATACCCTTGTATCTTCGATTATGGGGGCATAAATACATCTTTATTTTCCAAATGAGGGACTAGATAAATTTTTTTTGGCACAGGTCCATTATAAATACCAAGAAACTATTTGCAAAAGGCCTATCTTACCAAAACTTGCATTACTCTCATACTTGCTTCAGACGCTGGATTTGAGTTACATTTTGTAGATTAGTGAATAGTTTGTAGGTTTAATCCAGTATAATCCAGTATAATCTTCACTCATAATTTGACAGGCTAGACCTCAAATACTATCATTTTCAGTTAAGTGTGAAGTTTTGCCTTACGTCACAATCTTTATCGACAGATACATCCAGCGTAAACAATTCATGTGATTCGTCAACTCATATTATAAACATTGACACGGAAAAAGTCTGTTGAACGAGCAACCAATGAGGGATAAGAAGAAAGTTCCAGTCGTAAAGCTTGCGGTTAGGAGGCGTGTACGATTTATCTTGAGCTCAGCTGTCATCATAGGTTGTAACGAAATGCAAAACTTAACTGAAATTGATAGTAATACAACACATATGCTATAAGCTGGGTTAGCTTAATGGGAGCAGTTGGCATTTAATACCAATACATTAGCAGGGGGTGCTCACTACTACATGGCACCTGGTGATTTGATGTTAAAACACACATTGTTTGCTCTGCTCCTGATTATATATTGTTTTATGAAACATATGGAAATATCAAACAGTCTTCAAGATCAAAAGTCCATAAAACAATACAAAATAGGAGCAGAGCAAAAAAGGACCTTCAAAACATCAAAGGTGTTATCAGGTGCAATGGAGTAGTGAGCATTTCCTATCGACCGGTCACATCTGCCTTGTGCTCCTTGTCATGATCGGGAAATAACGGAGAAGTCCGTCGTCAATTCAGGATATAAATAATGGACTAACAATTAGTATTTGACTCAATCATAAATTGCATTTGCTGACAAGGTCATTGTATCGACCATAGAACTTACGAAATGATTACTTTAAACGAGACTGCTGAAATTCTTGTTTCATCAACTTGTTTTTCAATAATTTACGTCGTTTTAGAAATTATTCATACGTAGAGCATGCTCTTGCGTATCGAATCAACTGAGAT